AGTCTTTCGTCTACTTATAAGCTTATCGATACGTTTAGTAGCAAAGGCGTCTCTCTACTAAGCACGTAATAGCTTATCTATAAACAATTAACCGTCCCTATTTATAAGGTTATTTAATAGTACCCTCGCTATCGAACGAGGTACGTATTATATATATCTAATAGTACTAGTAGCCGGAACTACTGCAACCTCTTCTATAGTACTATCGCTATATAGACTATTACTATAGATAGCAATATCCTTAATCGAGTTATTATAGCTCGAGCGATCTACGTCCTTTCTTTTAATATATACTAAAAGAACGACAACTCCGCTATAGTATTTGTTGCCGCCGCGGGGTCCGGAAGTCCGCTTATCCTACGCTTGCTTTATAGCAAGGTCTATAGCAATCTTATACTATAGGGTTGGAAATAAAGAATTAATATACTAGGTCTCGCTATCGTAATTAGGTCGCCTTAATAGGCTATTAGTAGGGTTGCTTACGCCTAGCCGATATAATATATTAAAATTAAACCTAGCGAGGTAGACGGCCTATCTAGCCTATCGACCTATAACCCTAGTAACCTTAGTAATACTACGGAGGTTGTTATAGTCCGTATAGACCTAAATCGCATATTAGGCCCTATCGAGGTAGTGCCTCTAATACTTAAAGGCCTCGATAATAGCTAGCAATTCTTACTCGTAGGTCTCGTAGCGACGCTTAGCGTTAATTATCTTTCTCGAGAAGAAGGCAATTAGGTACTAGTAGGTATTATTAGCCTGTTATAATATAATAGCTAATATAGCGAACTGTAAAGCGTTAGTCTTAATACGGATCTGCTTGCTTAGTATAAAATAGTATAATAGGGGGACTTTAGTAAAGCGTTGCTTTAGACTATTAAAAGCGGCTTATGCTCTATTAGTCTATTTAAACTCTCTAGTCGGGTTAGCTTTGGTTTTAGTAAGCTTAGTTAGTAGTATTATATGCCTCGAATAGCCCTTAATAAATCGGCGATAGAAGTTAGCAAAACCGAGGAACGACTATAGCTCCTTAATTAACGTAGGAATAGGCCATTTAGTAATAGTTTTAATCCGATTAGGATTAGCCTTAACACCCTTAGTTAATACGAGGAAGCCGAGGAATAACACCTCTTTAGCAGCAAAGGTACATTTAGAAGGCTTGCAATATAAGCTATAGGCTCGTAGGCGATCGAGCACCTTACAAACTACAGCCTAGTACTCCGTAATGTTAGGGGAGTATATATAAACTAGGATGTTATCTAGGTAAACTATACAGAGGTAGTCTAATAGGCCCGAAAGGGCCCGATTAATATAGGACTAGAATGTTGTAGGGGCATTAGCTAGACTAAATAGTATAACTAAGTACTCGAAATAGCTATAGCGAGTGCGAAAGGCTATCTTCTATTTATCGCCCTTGCGAATACAGATGCGATAATAGGCGTCCTTAATGTCTAATATAGTATAGTAGTAGGCACTAGAAAGGCGATCGAGGGTCTTATTAATAAGTAGAAGTAGATAGCGGTCTTTAATAGTAACAGTATTAAGTCTACGGTAATTAACGTATAAACGTAGGCTACTATCCTTCTTTAGTATAAATAGGATAGGTGCACTAGCAGGGCTGTTACTATACCGAATGCGGCTATTAGCTAGGTTTTCCTCTAGGTACTTACGTAGTATAGCAAGCTCTCGTTTACTAAGGTTATAGAGGGGACTAAAAGGAACCTCCTTGCCCTCTATAATATTAATCTTATAATCCGTCTCTTTAAATATAGGCAATGTCGATGCTAGGTAGTGTTTAAATATATTAATATAGGTCTCTCGGATAGGCTCTAGTATACGAGCAAGCTAATTAGGATTATTAGGGGGCACAAGTTTATCGTTATTACTACCGAGCAAATCGGCAGTTAGATTAGCTAAGGCGGAGGCTAGTATTAGGTTGCTAATAAATAGGACCCTAATATCGTTAGGGCACTCGCTAACATTAATGTATTTAATATCCTCTTTCCTAGCGATTCTAAATCGCTACTTCTAAATGCCTAAGTCTATAGCTATAGCGTAGTACTTAAGAATAGGGTTGCTAATAACAATATTAGATAGAAGGCTATCTATATCTACTACGTAGGTAGTAAAGTTTAGTAGGCGCTTATTGCCGAGGTCGTCTCTTAGGGCTATATAGATATAGTAGGCTCCGTAGGTTAAGTGCCGAGCGTTATTAAACTAAGCAAGGGTTGGTAGGTTAGTCCTAGGCAGTTATCGAAGGTCTAATTGCTTAGCTAGGCGATAGCTAATAAGGGCACTAACTAAATTTCCTAGATCTAGTATAACCTTAGTCTTATAGTTAGTTCTATGCGTATCTAGTGCGAGACAGGTACGTATAATAGCTAGTACAATATCGATAGTCTTACGCCGTATAAGGCTAATAGTTAGTGCGGCGCTTATTCTTTTTTCGAAGGTTAGCCTATAGGGGTAGCGTTAGCCGCTAAGAGGTGCTTTCGGTGTTTAGCGGAAGTATAGTTAATTCGGGCCTAGTCCTTAGGTTTGTCGCATTAGCCTAGTAGATAGCTAGTGCTATTACAATTAAAGCACTTTAATCTAGTTAGTAGACTGCCGTAGCTGTTGTTATTAGTTAAGCGGTTAGCGTTATAAGGATACGAGCCCCTTCTACGGCCTCTATTATAGCCTCCTCTATATAGCCGCCGGCTACGGCCTCTTCTACGATCGTTACTATTCCTATTATTAGTATTGTTGTCTTAGTAGGAACCTTAGTTTCCTCCGCGGCTACGGTTGCTATAGTTGCTAGTAGGTCGGATCCTTAATTCTAGTCGTTGCTAGAGCTAGATAGCTCGTTTAGCTGTTTCTACCTCGACTATAAATTAAATGCGTATTAGGTTAGTCTATTCGAACATACAGCGGCAGTCCAATTTAAGGACTAATTCCTATCGCAATTTAGGGCGTATTTCGGAAATCTAGATAGAGTCGGTCTTAGCTAGCAGATCGTCCTCGAGAGTCTTTAAATAGGCCTTAAATAAGCGGGCCGATTAATTAGTCTTTTGTTTAGCTCGAAGGTATTAGTTCTAAGCGTGTTATTGCCTTAGTATAGGGTTTCTAAGGGTGTCTAGCATAATAGTTTTATAGGTCTGCTACTAAATAGCGGTCTAGTCGTCGAGGGAGTCGAAATAGTTATCCTATATACGCTTTAGGTCGCTATTAATATACTATATAGCGTATACGACTAAGGAGTAGTCGTCTAGTAGCGCTAGACCCCGCAGTGGTTCGGTTTGCGAACCATAGAACGTATATGGTTTGGTTTCTTGGCGGTACCCCTCCGGTTTGGTTCCGGTTTGGTTTTTTACCCCGCTGGTCTGAGCCGGTTTCCGAGAGAATCCGACCAAACTGCGACGACATACGACGACCTCGGATCGGGTCCGGGGGCTAAATATTGCATACGCTACACGGTTGCATCTGTGTTCCAGGCTGTTTAGACGTGTCCCGGCGTGTTCCGGCGTGTTTTAGGTCGGGTTTTTGTCTGTGGCCGGCACGTGGCCGGCAAACCGGTCCGTGCACCGGTTTCTTGGCAAACCAAACCAAACCAAACCAGAATTTCGGCTTGGCAAACCAAACCAAACCAACCCGGACCACTGCGGGGTCTAAGTAGCGCTCTTAGTATATTGCGCTAGTTAAGTTTATAGTTACGAATATAGTCGTTATACTGCTTTCGACTAGAGCTATTAAATATAGTATAGTTCTTAAGTTTAGCATCCTTCTTCTAGATAGGTAGCGAGGAAGGTCCTACTATTAGTTTAGCATTAGTTGTTAGAGCCTCCTATAGGCGGCGAATTTCGAGGAGATTATCCTTTAGCTATTATTCTTAGCGCAAGGTAGTAAGCCTATTTTAGGTAGCTTCTTAAAGTCTCGCTACTAGCTAGGGGCCGAAGGCTAGCTAGCTATATCGTCGATTAATAATATTATTAAGAATATCGTTAATAGGCAATTCTATATTATTACCTAGAATTATAGGTTCTTCTTTAGTAGGCCCTCTAGTAGGCTCTTTAGTAGGAGGCACTTTAGTAGGCACTTTAGTAGGTACTATACTACTAGCGTTGTCGTTGCTAGCGCTACTAGCGGTAGTACGGTTGTTATTGCTTCGTAATAAGCCGGCTATTATAATAAGGGGTAGTACTAATAATATATTATAGGCCCCTATAGTACGGATATAGCGGAATTAGTAGATATCGGCTTAGTACGATTAACTTAGTATAATAGGCCGTATAGAAGGCCTTGCTTAATAATTAGTATAGTTATTTAGTAGAATAGTACGTATAGGTCCCGTTCTTTAGGCGTAATATAGTTAAATCGATAGTTTCCGTAGCTATACCGCTAAAAGCTTAAAATAAGGACTATCTAGCTACTACCCTTAAAGGGTAGATCGAATACTATATAAGAAGGGTTATATTAGTAGGTAGATAGGGTAGTAGTAGGTATAAGTAGTATTCGATAAAGATCTAAGAGAAGAGGGAGGAAGGTAGGAGAGTTAGCCTAACGCTAAGCGCTAAGCCCTACCTAAGGTATTAAGACCCTAGCTTTACTCGGCCTAGTTATATACTAATTACGTATAGCCTCTTTAGCTCTAATATTTCCTTACTAAAATCGTCGCTTTTGTTCTTTTTAGGCGCGTCTACTATATCGTCGTCGCCCTCGAGTACGAAATCGCCCTAGGCAGCCTCCGCTATTCTCTCCGCCGCCGGCAGTAGTAGTACTACTAAGTTCGATAGAACCGAAGCTATATTATACGAAGAGAGGGCAATATCGATAAATACTAGCAATCTTAGTAATAGAAACGATAAAAGAGCCGGCGACAGCGATGCGGAAGAATGTAAACAAAACAATGGAACGCGTTACGCGTAGCAGGAGTCGGGCGGACCTTGGCCTATTCACCGACGCCGTGTACACGGACTGGCGACGCATGCGGTACTAAATGTGCCTCCTTGCTTCCAATGATTCTTCCCCGACTGCCACTCACACGTACGACTTTAACACAATCTAGAGACAATCTTCAAAGAGCGCTCGTGTAGCACAGTCACACTAATGTGTCGTGCAAATGGCAGCTCGTTTTCCAAAGATCTATACAGTCAGTGGATGCAACTCCACACTAATACACTGAAACAGGACGAATTGTCTTGCAACTCTGCGGGTTGTAAGACCCGAGCCGGCCTTTCGGGAGAGATATGAATTCGAAGTAGCGGCAATTTCGAGGTGAAGCCTCGACCGAACGACCCGTTCCCTGATCCTGTACCTCATCCTCCCCCGATGCGCGAATCCCTTCAGTAGCAAGGACGGGCTGTTCAGCTTCGCGTGCCACTCTGCCCTTACGATAAGGAGGCACGATTTTCAAGAGCAGTCATTGTGGTGTTCTGAGTCAATGGACCAGAACCGAGCAGCAAGCTCAGTTAGCAAGGGTAACACGGCCTTTAGCCAGCTCCAGAGGGACAATTCCTGGTAGTCAACAGAGGTAGTTGGCGACGGCACGTTTCTGGCCTCAATGCTATCATGGCTAACACGATACCAAATGAACGACATACTAGCGTAGAGCTGGCTGGATGGGCTTTGGCAAGGACAATCAGAGTTCCGGAGCGAGGATACATTGGCACGATCTGCGCTATTGCACCACTTCAACTTGCAGCTCAGTGGTACAAGCAACGCCAAACTTGGGGCAAGCTGGAGTGGTGTCGAGCGGCCGGAGCTGCAATATATACAGAGCAAAGGCATAGCAGAGTTTGACGTGAGTTGAAACTTGGAAGCATTACAAAGCAGATACGACGATCACTCCCAACACCACAGCGGCATTTTCGTTTTCAGTAACAGCCGACTCCATAAAAGTAAAGCGTCTTCTGCTGTTGCACGGTTCCGCCAAGCTCCGCATGACGTTGGTTGTGCCCTTCGGCGTGATTGCCCCACCGAGGGCAAGAGCTCGAAGTTCAGGTCTCGTTGAGCACATCCATCATATAAGAACTTGGCCAAGTGTGATTGCAAGATTAAGACCCTGAGAGACCTCAAGAGCAGCTACGCATCATACACACTCTCAACCACTCGGCATATCATCAAGCACAGGGATGTCTGGAAAGAAGGCATTGGTCATTGGCCCTGGCTTCATCGGCTGGAACGTGCTAGATCTTCTGCTCTCTGATGGCTACGCTGTCACTGCATATGTCCGCCGAAGGGAGCACGGCACTCAGTTGGCAGCCTCAGGAGCTTCCGTGGTTATGGGTGATTTGGAAGACAGCTCCAAGATCACTGAGCAAGTCTTGCAACACGACATTACCTTTCACACTGCAACGGCAGACCACCTACCCAGCGTTGAGGCAGTCCTTGAGGCGATCAAGCAGCGAGCCGCTAAAGGCCTTCTGACAACTTTCATTCACACTTCCGGTACAAGCGTGCTCGATGACGGCTCGTTCAGTGCCTACAAGAGTGACAAAATCTACTACGACAACAAGCGTGCCGAAGTCGACGCCGTGGCCGACGATGCTCCCCACCGACCAATCGATCTTGCCATTGTGAAAGCCCAGAACGAATTGGGTGACAAAGCCAAGATAGCGATCATGATTCCACCCCTGATATATGGCTTCAACCCAAGACACAGACGTCTATCAATCCAGATCCCCACTTTGACGCGCTTCGCGCTGAAACACGGCTATGCGGCTTATGTTGGCAAAGGTCAGGGAGTCGAGTCGAACATCCACGTGATGGACCTGGCTCGGGCATACATCGTCCTGCTTCACCATCTCGAGAAGGTCACTCCAAAAGATACGTTGGAGAATCCATACTATTTCTGCGAGTGCACTGGTGATGATGAGCCATCTTGGTACGAGGTTGCCAAAGTGATTGGCGAAGGTCTTCATAAGGCAGGGAAGATGGAGGATGCAGAGCCAAGAGAGCTTATGAAAGAGCTTTGGGGCGATGCATTTGCGGACTTTACTGCTGCTGTTATCGGTCTCAACAGCAGGAGCCGAGCGTTGAGGCTACGAGAACTTGGATGGAAGCCAAGAGAGAAGGATTGGAAAACCTCATTTCTTGAAGACGAACTGCCTGAGATTCTGAAAGAGGAGCAAGGTGACTTCGCAGGCTACACGGGCATTGTGACTTCGAAGTAAAACAGCAAATGAATCAATGCGCGCCCTACGCCATCGAGTGATTCTGAGTCTATCGTCTTCTCCATTTGTTTGCCCTATGCTGTGCCGACGAAGGCCGACACTCGACATCGAAGAAGTCGCATATCCTGATCGCGCTTCCAGCCAACACGTCCTCTGTCGGCGGGTCAGGCAGACTTCATGTGCTTCTCTCTCAAGATCGCCAAGCGCCTCATAAACTCCCGGGAATCGTCAAATCGGCGCCCATCTGCTGCGCTGCCTTGGACTCGCTCTTTCAGCACATCCACCATGATTGTCCTTGCTCGGACCGCCTGTTCGTCCAAACCGTCCATCGGCTGGCGGATCACTTCGGCTCGAAGTGCTGCAAGTCGCATCGACGCTGCCACCTGGGCCAACACCTCTTGCCACTGTCGCCACATTTTCTGGACAAGCGGCAGGAGCTGTTGGGCGGCTCGTGTCGCGACTTCCCGGTCTGGAGATGCAACATTCCTCTCCATCTCCTCCGCCTCGCGCCTGAACGATTTCGAATGCCCCATGCCGATCTCGAACGATGTGATGGCGGTAGCATTGTTTCCGATGATGCTGTCTGTAGCAAGGCCATGCGCCGACGAATGCTTCGACCTGTCACCCGAACTGTGCCGTCGACCAAAGCATACCGGTAGATCTCGTTCCGCAGCTCGGCGGCCAGTTCGAGAAGTGGCGAATGTTGAGAGGTCATACTCGGTGATGCACGCGTGCAGGCAATGGCTCATATGAGGTTGTTGGAAGATCTTCGCCACGTTGCGGATGTTCGACTCTTGATATACAAGTGAGCTGTCTCTACATGACAGCAACTGAATACATTGCGGGCAATGGAAAACACTAGCTTGGCCTCACTCCTGCTGGAACTGGCCACGACTGCCGCTCACTCTGCATCTGTTTAGCGAATCCAATTCGGCTTGCTCTAGAGAATGAAGATCATTGGAGAGAAGAGGCCGACTGCCAGATCTATACCGCGACCTCAAGTCTTTCCTTCTCCTTAACCCTACGCTCAAACTCGGCGAAATCCACAATCTCTAGCCCTGCCTCGCTATTACCTTCTCGAAGCAACCTCAATCTCGTACCGAAGTCCTCCACACAAACATCCCGAGGTGCTTTAGCATCTTCCTGCTCCTTAACATCTGGAAGAGCAACCACATCGCCCGGGAAGGCATGAAGCCACAACTGCTCAGCAACACTCGCCCACACCCGCTGAATCTCTCCCCATCGAACTTTCGCCATTCGATACATCTTCGCGCATCCCTGATTCCAGTCCGCAATCTCCTCGGGCGTAGTCGCAGTTCGCTGTGCCCATTTATCGTCGAAGGCCGCGACCCAGGCCATATCATCCCGGCCGAAAAGTGTACATTGTTCTGCAACCGTGAACCTCCCCGTCATGAATCGAACAGAAGAACGCGATCCGATCGCCAAAAACCATGACTCCAGCACCCTCGCATTCTGGATATCGGCAACGAAGCAGAAGTGATTCTCCGCCAGGAAAATCCCTAAACCCTCGCTCCGAAATTTTCGACACGTTTGCAGTAACGCCGTGTGCTTCGGAATTGTCTGAGGATGGATCACGATGTCCTCGTCGCTGAGCAAGACGTAGCGGTAAATTTGATTCAGGATCTCGCCCGGAAGGCGCAGTAAGTGTCGCGGCTCCTCTGGAGGGACTTCGTCGGTAAGGACTTCGAAACAGTTCCAAGTCGAGTAAGGCTTGGGGCGGTGGTGGAAGCATGGCAGATTTGCGATCGAGAGGTAGGAGTGACGACCCATGGTTGTCGTCGAACAGGTGTGAGGAAGGAAGGGAGTGTGTTCGGAATTTTGATGAGAGGTGGACGAGGCTACGTTCGCGGTGGGTAAATAGGGGTTTGAACTGCCTTACCTATCCTTTGCTGGTGTGAAGCTTGTGTATAAGCCTTATGTCTCAGATCTGATTGGTACCTTACTTCCTATATCTTCTCAGGCTGTCAAACTCTATTCTATCCATCCACTTGAGGACATGAGAGCAACATCGTCAGTTCTTGATAAGAAATCCCATCTCTACACTCAGCCACGAGCAATATTATCATGATATGGAAGGGCGGTGGCTAGTGTTCTGCCTTTGTCACCGAACCACTGTCGACTATATCTCGTGGGTGACGCTATGATGAATGGTGAAGCTAAGGAGTGGATGACATTTCCGGCGATGTTGACGGGGAAGTTCTTCGTTGCTGCTCCGGCAAATATGACCCAGTTTCCGATCACCGTCAACACGCAGGCGATGATGATACACATCTTAGGACCATAGCGGTTTAGAGTCCAGATTGTGAAAGGTGCTGGGATGAGGAAGACCAGTGAAGAGACGATGCTGAGGTTGTTGAGTTCTTGGAATGAGATGCCGTACCATTTCGTCGCCGTGCTCGACACGACACCAGGTGCTACGTAGCCCCATCCGACTGCAAAGCTGTGCGTGAAGTCAGTGCCCATTCTGTGCATTATTTGGCAATTGGTGGACATACTTAAGCAATGTCAACTCTGCAAGGCCACTCCATCGTCGTTTGTAAAGTCGATACTCGGGTTCGGTCACAAGACCTTTGCTTTCAAGTTCTGTTGAATTGTTGTATCGATAATTGTCGTATTCTACTCCAGGTTAACGACAAGGGATTTTTGGTAACGCGGAGACTTGCGTGCTGCACAGTGCTTCAGCTGCAGACCGTACGTCAGTCGAAGGCTCAGCCAACATTTGGTCGGATGCTCCAATTGGTTGACGAAGCGCAATTCCTGCCCGATGCAGTTTTCGTGCGGTGATTGGCAGCGCAGCTGCCAATCTAGACACCGCGGCCACCGCCCGCGAAAATCCAAGTTGTCCGCTAAGACCGAAATGATTGGCTGAGAAATTTCGTAGAAGTAATATTCAATCAAAGATTGAAGGGAAATTTGACTTACCCCGGATTTCAGCGTAGAACGTCAATCGAAACAAATATTAAAGGGAAATTTGACTTGCCCCGGATTTTAGCGTAGGTATTAGCTAGTGTTAGCTAGCTAGTATTAGCTAGTATTAGCTAGTGTTAGCTAGTATTAGCTCGGACTATTAGCTAGTATTAGCTAGTATCAAAATCTAAGTTGTCCGCTAATACCGAAATAATTAGTACCGTAGCTACTAATCTAGATACCGCGCCTATCGCCCGCGAAAATCTAAGTTGTCCGCTAAGACCGAAATAATTAGCTAAGAATTTTAGTAGAAGTAATATTTAATTAAAGATTAAAGGGAAGTTTAACTTGTCCCGGATTTTAGCGTAGAACGTAAATCGAAAGCGCTTAACGAAACCCGGATATAAGCGTAAAACGCTAATAAAAATTTAGTAGGAGCTTAACGTAGACTAAAGACCTAGATATAGCTATATTCTACTAAATACGAAGCCTATCGACTAGTATAAAGGTCCCCGTAGCGAAAATATTAGTAAGACTACTAATAGTACTATTAATTTTAATAAAGCTATTAGTAGAGGCTATAGAGCTACTAGTAACTTTAGACTATTAGACTATTAGTAGGGCTACTAGTAGGCAGCTACTAGTAGGACTAGGTATTAAGAAAACTATTAACAAACCTATTAATTAAACTATTAGGTAAACTGTTAGATAGACTATTAGATAAACTATTAGCTAAACTATTAGTGAACCTAATAAAAGAACTAATAATAAAACTAATAATAAAACTAATAACTCAAATGGCACTAATAGTAAAATAGTTAGTAAAACTACTAATAGGACTATTAATAAAACTGCTAATAAAACTGTTAATAAGACTACTAATTAAAACTACTAAGACTATAAGCTAACCTATAAATAGGACTACTAATTAAAGTACTAAGACTACTAACTAAACTAGAAACAATACTATTAACAAAACTACTAATAAAACTATTAATAAAACTACTAATAAAACTACTAATAAAACTATTAAAGAAACTACTAATAAAATACTAATTAAAATTTTTGTTAAACTAAAACTAGTAATCGAACTGCCAATTAAACTATTAATTAAATAGTTAATCAAGCTATTTATAAAATTACTAATAAAACGACTAATTAAACTACTAGTTAAGCTACTAGTTAAACTACTAATTAAACTACTAACGAAATTTTAAATCAACCGTTACTAGCAATTAAACTACTAATTAAACTGCTAGCTAAACTACTAATCGAACTGCTAATCGATCTACTAATCGACCTACTAATCGACCTATCTCTATTTAGATATTAGTAATTTAGTACTACATACTTTAAATTATATAATTTATTAGGGGACTAACTACTAATAAAATACTAGTTAAAACTTCTATTAGACTAAAACTAGTAATCGAACTACTAATTAAACTATTAATTAAATAGTTAATGAAACTGCTAATTAAATTGCTAGTTAAAATACTAATAAAACTACTAGTTAAACTACTAATAAAACTACTAATTAAACTACTAATTCAATTTTAAATTAAACTATCACCAGTACTTAAACTACGAATCGAACTACTAATAAGACTACTAATTAAACTACTAATCGAACTATTAATCGAACTATTAATCGAACTATTAATCGAACTATTAATCGAACTATTAATCGAACTATTAATCGAACTATTAATCGAACTATTAATCGAACTATTAATCGAACTATTAATCGAACTATTAATCGAACTATTAATCGAACTATTAATCGAACTATTAATCGAACTATTAATCGAACTATTAATCGAACTATTAATCGAACTATTAATCGAACTATTAATCGAACTATTAATCGAACTATTAATCGAACTATTAATCGAACTATTAATCGAACTATTAATCGAACTATTAATCGAACTATTAATCGAACTATTAATCGACCTACTAATTAACTTACTAATCGACCTATCTCTATTTAGAAGCTAGTAGTTTAGTATTATATACTTTAAACTATATAATTTATCGGGAGACTAGCTACTACTGTAATACTAATTAAAGTTTCTGTTAAACTAAAACTACTAGTCGAACTACTAATTAAACTATTAATTAAACTACTAATTAAACTACTAATCAAACAGTTAGTTAAACTATTAATTAGACTAGAGACTCTACTACTAGGCACACTAAGAGATACCTAGGTCAAACCCGAAACCATTGAAAGGATCCTAAAGAAAATTCCAGGCAATAAGGCACTAGGAGAAGACAAGATCTACAACAAACTTCTAAAAGCATGCAGGAAGGAGCTAGCCCTAGCACTAGCTAATATCTTTTTACAAAGCCTAGTACTAGGACACTACCTAAGACCATTTAGGAAGTCCCTAACAGTAGTGTAAGGAAGCCCAGAAGGAAGACTATATACAGCTTAAGGCCTATAGACTAATAGCCCTACTTAATATAATAGGCAAGGTGCTAGAAAAAATTATCGCTAAAAGGCTAATAACCTTTGCCGAGGAAAGGAATATCCTTCCTAAAGGCTAGATAGGAGGAAGAAAGAAGAGGTTAACACTAACAGCTATAGAACTAATTACAGAACAGATTAAGCATATCTAGTACTATAGTTAAAACTAGGTAGCAACCCTCCTCTCCCTTAATATCTTAGGAGCTTTTAACAATATCTCCTATAAAAGGCTCCTATATATACTTAAACAGAAAGCTATACTAAACTGGATAGTCCAATTTATCTAGTCCTTCCTATAGGAAAGATTAATACAGCTTATTCTAGGCAAATTCAAATCAGACCCAATGCTAACTAAAAAGGGAATCCCCTAAGGATCAATACTCTCCCTAATCCTCTTCCTTATCTTTATAGTAGACCTACTCCTACTCCTAGAATTAAAAAACACATTAGTATTAGGGTTTGTAGATAACACAAACATCCTAGCCTAGTCTAAGACAATAGAAACCAACTATAAGATCCTAGAAGAGAAGCACTAGGAGTATAAAAAATAGGCAAGGAGGTATAGAGCAAAATTCGCCCTAGAAAAGTACTAGCTTATCTACTTTAGTAAGGCTAAATCAACCTATAACATAAAGCAATCAATTACTATTTAAGGCTTTAAAACCCAACTATTAGCAGAGCTTAGGGTACTAGGGATCTAGCTAGATCTAAAACTGAATTAGGGACTATAAGTAAAGAAGGTAAAGCAGAGGGTAGATGCTAATATACAATCCATTAATAGGCTTACAGCCTCTATATAGGGGGCTATATTCGAGAAAGCTAAAGTTATATATAAAGCAATTATCAAGCTAGCAATACTATATAGAGTATAGATATAGATAGCCTAGGAGAAAACACTAGAGAGGATTAAGCAACTAGTTAGCAGGTCCCAAACCTAAAGCCTAAAGAAAATCCTAGGAGCATATAAAACTATACTAATAAGGGTAGTGGAAATAGAATTAGGGATCCTACTAGTTAAACAATACTTTAAGGGACTAAGACACTAATATATAGCAAAGACAATAGAATACCTAGCCTAATAGACTATCTAAAAGGCACTAGACAAGATAAAAGCCTAGTATATTAGGACTAGGAGGCGAGACAGACTATAAATAACTCCCTAGAAAGTTAAAGACCTAGAGCAATATAGAGTCTTAATAAGAGAAATGCTAGAGAAAGAGCTTTAAGGACTAAACATAAGGCTAAAGGAAGACAAGCTAAAGGGAGAGAAATAAAGCCTAGTAGAATCAATTGCTAGATACCTATAGGAGCAGGAATAGAATAAAACATAAGTTAGGCTAGGAACCCTAAAGGCACTAACCAAATTTAGTCAACATAACTACTAGCTCTATAAGGACCTAAATAGGGCCGAAGCAAGCCTAGCTATCTAAATCAGATCTAAATACATTAGACTTAGATCTTACCTATTTAGAAGAAACGTCCTAGGAATTGAAAGCAGGGCTTACTAATATAGCTACCAATCTTAGAACCCTAAGTATATACTGCTAGTCTGCCCTTAATAGTTAGAAGGCAGAAGTAATTAGAAACTAAGAGCAATAGAAAGGGAATACGACAAGCTAATCTAGAGCAAAGAAGACCTAAAGAGGATAGTGAAGTAGATTATTAAATAGGGATTTATACAACAATTCGCACTAGTAAGGGAAACTAAGGAGTAGATAAGAAGGAGGGAAGAAGAGGGGGAAAGAAGGGCAGGGTAGCAGGCAAGGTAGTTAGAGGGTAACAACTATAATACTAGTATACCCTAGAGGAAGGAAAACAAGGAAACGAGGAAGATTAACACTTATAAATAGGATAGGAGGGAGGTTTTTACCAACTAAGTTGGTTTCCTACCTAAAACAATACATAGAAACAGACCTATATAGGCCGAAAGGCACTACAACAGGCAAATGAAATATCTATCTATCTATTAATTAGACTATTAATTAAACTACTAATTACGTTTTGAATTAAACTATTATTAGTAATCTAACTTCTATTTAAACTACTAATTAAACTATTAATCAAACTATTAATCAAACTATTAATCAAACTATTAATCAAACTATTAATCAAACTATTAATCAAACTATAAATCGAACTATTAGTCGAACCGTTAACCGACCTCTACTAATCGACCTATCTCTATTTAGAAGTTAGTAATTTAGTATTCTATACTTTAAACTATATAATTTATCGGGGGACTAGTAGTAGAAATAACTAGTATAATAGCTAAATCTATAATAGCTAGATAGTATAGCTTAAAGCTATTAATCTCTAAGAATTATACTACTAGACTTACTAGCTAGAGGATAACTACTAGTAATTAGGGGGTTATATATAATATATCTAGGCCTCTACTAAGGTAGTATATCTATTCTTTTAGTATATATTCTATATATAGCCTAAATAATTAAATTTTATTTATATATTTTAAGCTAAGGTTAATAACTTTTACTACTAGTAAATTTACTACTAAAGTCTAAATCGCTATTTTAGTATATAGCTAAAGTCCTATTCTCTCTTACTATAGTAATTAGCTAAGTAGTACTTAGTATTTGCTATAGATATATTTCGTTTTCTAACTAAATATTTAAAGCCTACTAACTAAGAGTCTAAGGGAATTAATAGCGCGCGTCTAGACTGGCAGCAAACTACTACTTAGATACTAGTACTTATACTAAGCCCTACTAAACTATATACTATAGCTAGAACAAACTACTATATAACTTAAAAAAGCATAACTATAATTAAGAATTGTAAGATTAGTAAATTTTCCTTTATAAACTAGGGCATAGATATATATAGAAACTAAAATTATAATATTCTCTAAAACTAGTATCGTATTCCTAGAACCTTACAGATAGCTATATTATATATAATATAAACATACCTAGGCCTATAGTTGTAGAGTCTAAGAGCCTTTAGCTATCGAAGTTTGCTAGCCTCGGTAGTCGAGATATATATACGATTAGTGATCAAAACAAATACATTGCAAGCTGCCAGTCTTGGAACGCGATAGTGGTCCACAACACTTCCTAGTTGGCAAGTGTGTGCCTTCCAGGTGGGCTTGAAGCAGCCCTACGCAAAGGAAAAGACACATCAATCCACAGTATTGTTCGTCAACGCTAAAGAGTTGAAGTTCGATTGCTCGATTCATCTGCCCGTTATTAGCATCATGTGCAAACCCGCTTAACTCATACATGCTCGACACATGCTCATTCGACCTCTGAATTTGTTAAAGCGCAAGACCTGCCCAAATTGGTATTCCGCTTAGCTGATCAGCAGAAGACGCAGTGGTCGCAATGCCTGCGAACTAGAGGCATCCCGCGCGGCGCAGTATCCAAGGGACATCAAGCAAGCAGGACACCAGCCAAATTTGCCAGGACGGCCACTCTCTCGACGTCAAGTCCAATCCAAACAACCTGGTTGCGCGCGCTGTGGTGCTCGCATCTCCACGAAACGCAACGACCGACGCAAGTCAAGCATGGAACAAGCTCAGCCAAGCTTTGTGGTGTAAGCAATCCCACGGCTCCTTCGTCCGGGCTGCGCAGTTCTTTACCTCCCACTGCTAGCCTCGCGCCCGTGGCTGTCATGCGCTCGTTCAGCTGCTCTCAAATAGATATTGAGGCTGAGCGTTATTGGAGCGGTATGGTATACCTTGTGAACATAGACGTTGCGCTGTGAAGATCGCGATTATGCAGACTTTGCTTGACCGTGCCGTGCGACTCTGCGTCAAGATTCCTGTCCGCATTCTTGATGATTCGTTGAATCTGCGTTTAGTGTCCTTGTGAGTATGTACAGATTCTACAGACCTGGTAACGAAGCTATCGCGAGATAGTGAAGACCTCAATGTTTACAGACATGGCGGAAGATTCTTTGGTGCGAACTGCCACTTCGCTCGATAAAGGCGACGATTCTCGGCGTGCTTCCTGCCGCACTCTTTGGCGGCTGAATTAAATTGCTCTATATGTATTTGTATGGGTTCATGATGCCGTTCTGCGATCAAAATCAGGGTGTCTTGCTTTGGGCAAACCGGAGGAGGTCCACTTACCGGGTCGTATAGGTTTTTGATCTGCTTCATGAGATCGATCATAGTCTGGTTTCTGCTGTATCCAATGTAATCCTTCTTCGTCAATCCAAGACCATGTTCAGCAGAGATGCTGCCTTCGCGCTTCTGAATCCATTCAAATACCCAAGGTTCAAGGGCCTTCTCGACCTCCTTGTCGTACCATCTTGTGCACACGTTCAGATGCAAGTTCGAGTCACCCATATGTCCATAGCCAATGACATCGAGGACTGGTTTGCTCTCATCTTCAGTGTCCATCATGCCATTGTCGATGAATCGTTGCCGGCAGTCGGCCACGAGCTGATAAAGCTCGGGCAAAGGTATCGACACGTCATACTTGTAGACTCCACCAAAGTGCTGAGATGCTTCGCTGACACCTTCTCGGCATGCCCATAGATTTGCTGCCTGCGTCTCATTCTCCGCCAGCACACCATCTTCGACGATGCCTTCACCCATGACATGCTCTAGAAATGCCGACATCTTCTCGCTATCGTGTTCCTCGTTCGATCCTGATGTCTCGATGAGGCAGTAGAAGGGGTATTCATTTTCAAGAGGAAGCTTGCGTCCAGAAGCACGCGTCATGATCTTCTGCGAATTGCCATCCATAAGCTCGAAAGCGGAAAGAATCTCTTGCAATGACTTCTTTGCCTCCTTGAAAGCTTCTTGCACTTTTTCGTACGATGATAGGCCGAAGTAGGCGACATTGACAGCAGGTGATCGTTGAGGACAGAGGATAGAGACTGCTGTGATGATGCCGATCGTGCCCTCGCCACCAATAAAGAGCTGTTTGAGATCATATCCAGTATTGTTCTTGCGAAGCTTACCGAGGTCGTTCACGATAGTACCATCAGGTAATACAGCTTCAATGCCGAGAACATTCCCGTGCAAGCTACCGTAACGAAGCAAGCGAAGACCTCCAGCATTTGTGGCAACATTACCACCTATCTGACATGTACCCTTTGCTGCGAGATCGAGCGGGAAGATGTGGCCATGCTCGGCGAGGTGGTTGTCAGCAACTTCGAGAATGGTGCCAGCATCAGCCACCAGGATTCCAGATACATGATCAAATTCACGGATCTTGTTCATGCGGCCGAGATTAACGACAATCTCGTCGAAGACCGGCACTGAGCCTCCCACAAGACCAGTGTTTCCTCCCTGCGGGTTGACGGCGATCTTGTTGTCGTTGCAGTATTTCAATATTTTGCTGACTTCTTCTGTCGAGCCTGGCTTGAGCACTAGCTTCGTCTGACCTCTGAACTTGCGCATCCAGTCTGCTCGAAATGCCTCGAGCTCACTGGTAGCATCTTGGCTGACACCATCAATCATGGCATTATCTGAGCCGAGGACGTCCTTGAAGAATTTCACATCGTCTGTCGTCAACTCTTTGAAGCGTGAGTCTCGCTTGAGCTGGGGGTATGATTCGGAGGTAAACTTGATCTGCTTCTTGTTTGGCACTCCTGATCGCGATTCTGGTGGATTATGTTCTGCATTGGAGGCGGTAGTCGTTGCCTTTGCCTCGGCGTGCTGCCATCGTACTTGCGATGCTCGTTGAACTGCTCGAAGTTGTGCCGATTGCTGGAATGTCTGGTTCGCGATTCGAATGCGCCTGAGCGCGGGCAAGCAGCGATTGATCGAAGGCATGCTGTTGAATGTACACAAAAGAAAGAGCGATGGTAGAAAAGAGTGACGTGTGTGAGAGAAGAGTCCTCCGTATACATGTAGGTAGTTCTTTGCTTCGGCCGGCGTCATTGCAGATCGCTCAAGCTTTCGGCAGAGTTGAGCCGAGAATCGCTGGAGCTCATTCGCGTCTGCTTGACGCCTTGAGCTCGACCAGCAACCATCGAAACATCCACCAAACAATCCTCCATCACCAAAGCCACATTCGTCCTTGCTTAACAACGATATACCACTGGAAACCCCTTCAATTTGACTGGTCCCCATCAAAACACCACCGACACCCGCACAGCATGGCTTCTGGCTACGACCGCGCGCTGTCCGTCTTCTCGCCTGATGGTCACGTCTTCCAAGTCGAATATGCCCTCGAAGCCGTCAAGCGTGGAACATGCGCAGTCGCTGTGAAGGGTACTGCAAAGGACGATCAGGTCGTGGTATTAGGTTGCGAGAAGCGATCCGCCCTGAAGCTCCAAGACACCCGCATCACGCCTTCCAAGATCTCCATGCTTGATACCCACGTCTGCCTTGCATTCGCCGGTCTCAACGCAGATGCTCGCATTCTGGTAGACAAGGCGCGGTTGGAGGCTCAGTCGCATCGTCTGACGGTGGAGGACGCAGTGAGCGTAGAGTACATCACCAAATATGTGGCAGGCGTGCAGCAGCGATATACCCAATCGGGAGGCGTGCGGCCCTTCGGTATCAGCACGTTGATTGTGGGCTTCGACCCAGGCAGCAAGGAGGCACGCCTCTACCAGACTGAGCCGAGTGGTATCTACAGCGCGTGGTATGTACAGGCACTGCCAGAGACATGCTGAATGACACTGACTCGCGCACTAAAGGAAAGCAAACGCCATCGGCCGCTCTTCGAAGACCGTACGAGAATTTCTCGAGCGTAACCACAAGGACGACATGACCCGCGCCGAAACCATCGAGCTTACCATCAAGTCGCTTCTCGAAGTCGTCCAGACCGGTGCCAAAAACATCGAGATCGCAATCATGGCACCAGGAAAGACGGTCGAGATGCTGCCATCAGAAGAGATCGAGAAGACAGTGGAGAAAATCAACAGCGAGAAGGATGCCGCGGCTGAGGCAAGTGCTAACCGCAGAGGAGGTGCGCGACAAGGTGGAACTGCGACTGGCGAGGCCGCAGCATCTGCCCAAGGTCCCGAACAGGTCCTGGCATCGAGACCTGCTGGTGAAGGTAGTGGTGCTCCTCCGGAGTAAGTTTTGGAGGAGATCGAGGAATAGCATAAAACGCGTGGCGTTTCGCGGATTCAAGAGCCGGAATAGGCATGTATATTACCTTTCACAAAAAGTGAGAGGAAAGAGAATTGAGCAGGTCAGACGACCTATAGACTGAGACGTCCAGCCAATAATGATTGTCGAGATATGTGAAGATTGTATTTCGTTACCAAGTCTGCATGGCTGTCGTTGCGCATGTGAATGTGGAAGATGACGCTCTTTCATTCCACTCGTTCAGCGGTCGGATCAGCCTATGCAGAACCCCCATACACAGCCTTTGGCCTGGTCACGGGCAATCTACGGCAATGAACATGAATTCACATTGTGGTAAGTGTGCAAAGGAAGGGCCGCGCTCTACGCTCTATGCTCTTAAGACCAGACTGCTGTCTGCGACATGCCGACCACTTCTCAAACTGTATACCGGAGCCCGCAGTCCCTCGCATGATACAGGCATAAAACTCCAATGATCGAAAACCAACCCTATGCTCCAATTCATGTGAAACAGTTTCACACATCCAACCCATCCAGAGATGTTGACAGTCCTTCCGCCGCCGATGGTACTTCTGCGACATAGATCGTGCGTCGAATTTTGGTCACTTAGTGTCTCTCTGGTTCTTCGATGCAGGATTTTTGAGGGTCTGTGGTTCGTAATCTGGATCGAGAGCAAGATCATCGCCGGGCAGCATGAATGGTCGTGGTAATGTCGAGGGATTGCCAACATCCTGATATTGAGCTTTGTTGAAGGTACCTCGCTGTTTGAGTGCCTTTCTATTTGCTTATGCTGCAGCGGAGAGCTTGGCTAGCGAATTGCGAGCAAAGCCTGCCTCTACAACATGAGCGGACGGCTCGAAAGTGAGGGGTGCGTGCGTGCAGCTTGGCATTTCTGTGAGACGGGAGAGGAAGAGAAAGAAATCGGGATCTATGGAAGTCGAGGCAGGTACCTTCACTTTATATGCAGATCGTTAGTTTCAACGCTACTAGGGATGCAGAGGTCATGGTCCGTGCTGGAGCAGAGGCATGCAGAAGGCCTGTGCTTGAGTTGATTGCGAGTGACTCGGGACGGTGTTAACAGCAGGCCGCGTTATCCTTTGCTCATCGGCTGCTCGAGCAGAATTGTTCTCTCGCTAAATTGTGAACATCCGTAGCTGCCTGCTATCGCAACTCAACGGCCGGAAAGAACCTTGATCCACCAAAGCCCTTTGCGATCACGCTTTGCACGTCCACATTGTCCCTATTGGCCCATAGCTTGAGGAGAATAAATCGACCAGACACTGGTGGATCAAATTTGATGGCGACCTTGTACTTTCCACGTTGAATGTGGAACTTTGCTCGTGTCACATTGGGATCGTTAAGGCCGTCATCATAATATTCGGTGCCATCAGGCCTCTCCTCGGGCGGCTGATAATATGCTGGTCCATACCCTGCTTCCGGACCATAACCGTTGCCGGGCTCTCTTTCGTCAGTATCGTCATGAGATGGTGAGTCGGCCATGCGTGAACGCGCCATCATCGCATCCAGTCGTCGTAAGTTCCATGAATCATCCCTTTCGTTGCCATCTTCAAAGCGGGGCACACCGGTCCAGCGTTCTCGATCGCGATCCCAGCTTTCCATCTCAACTCTGCGACGCATGCTCCGAAGGCGCTGCAAGCGGAAGTCTATGACGTCTGGTGAGGAGGTCTCTTCAGGGCCGGGCTCTTCATCGCTGAGCAGCGTGACAGGTACGCCTTCGTCGGGGAAGACTACGATGTCTGCAGCCTCACCTGACGAGGGAATTTCGCAATGAGCCTCTGGATCCTGTCGGCCGAAGCCGAAGTCATCGCCATAGTAGGATGTGGGATGCTCGTGCGGGTCATCTTGTACTTCGCCGCGGACTCGTGCTATGTCGTTATCTCTTCGCTCTGATGATATACCCATGGCATTTCTCATGGCGCTTTGCATGGCAGTAGCACTTCTCTCGTAGTCTCGGCCTAAGGCAGCGTCGACCTCTGGATCACGAAGCGCCTCCGACAAGGTAATGCCACGCTCGGGCGAATCCCTGAAGCTTCTTCGGCGACGATACGGCGGCGTGTCTACTCCCCGTCGTCTTGCATGAAGCGGAGGATCCATATATTTTGAAAGGTCGTTGAGATTCATGGACACGTAAATAAGGCCTTCACGGACACTATTCTCGTGTCAGCGGAGGTTGACATCAGAGGACAGGAGGGACAGTACGGCGATGTGAAGCCATGCTCTGGACCAACAATGTGCAGCTTCTCAAGACAAAAGGAAGAGTCATCAGCATGCCGTAGCACTATGCCACTGCTCGGTCTCTCAGAGCAGTATACACTCTTGTCATGGCGTACGATATTCCGCGGGCCCAGATATGTTGTGGGAGACCGCGGATCTCTATGCTCGCCTCCGTCGCATGATATGATTTCCAACTTCAACCGACCAGGCTCTACTTGGCCATAGTACCCATACTTGATGGGCAGTCTTGGCGGCATGGGTGCCTCGAAGTCCAGCCTCCTCCGTTTTGCTCGGCGTCGGATGGAGTCGTCGCTGCCTGTATCTCGCGCGTCTGAGCCTGGTGATCGCTGACGTCGGCGTTGAAGAGTGACTCGTCGTCGTGCTGTCTGCCGTTGTCTAGGAGCTCCCATCTGCTCCAGATCGCTTGCCGCCATGTCCTCGGTGGCTCGGAGGGCGCTTGAGAGGCGGCTTCCGCGAGTTCGTGGAGTTGACGATTCGGATGTGGCGGGAGGTTGGTCATACGAGCCCATCTGCTGCTTCTTAGCAATGTGAGGAGCAATGGGGACGATGAACAAGCAGCATACCCTCATTGAGAAGGGCCGCGAGTCTGGCATGGTGAAGCTCGCCGGCCTCGGAGCCTTGATCAATGATTGGAATTGAAAAGTCTCTCGTTACGATATCACGTTCTCATCGAGGCGTAGCTGGCTTGTGATAATGCTCCGGCGATCTGCTGACCATGTGAAGTTGGCTGTACAGAGAGGGGAACCTGATGCTTTGAGGACACCACTGCAGCTGAATGCAGGACGTCAGAGCAGCAGGCAGGGTCGCGCTTGCTTCGCCGCTTGGCTCGTGCCGATCCGCGTGCACGGGCACTGCACGACGCGACCTTCACTTTCAAGGAGACCTTCTTTTAGACTCACTCAACTTTCCATTGTACATCAACAACGCCGACTGGTGCGACGCGTGTATCAGAGCAAGGGTCTGGTATTCTTGGTTAGTCGGGTCTGCGGAGACCTTGATACACTCAAAGTCCGATCACTTTTCAGCTCAGCGCATGTCGCCTAAGAACTATTCTGTCTGACATTGCTCCAAACAACGCAACTGCTCGCGGGGAGCGCGAATCAGAATGTCTGCGCCGGGCGAGACATCTGCGCCTATCCAGTATCCGCCACAGCCAGAGCAACAAGTCAATGGAATCAAGCACACCAATGGCACGGAAATGCCACCTCAATCTGTGAACGGAGTCGGAGATGGCAGCACGTCCACGACAGCACCAGGGCTGAGCGCCGATGATATGGCGCTGTACGACCGACAGATTCGACTGTGGGGTGCGAAGGCTCAGCAGCAGATCCAATCTGCCAAAGTGTTGCTGATCTCTCTTCGGGCACTGGGAACTGAAATTGCAAAGAATCTCACTCTTGCCGGAATCAGTCAACTGACTATCGTCGACAACGAGCCTGTTACTGAGGAGGATCTTGGTTCGGGCTTCTTCTTGCGCGAAGAAGACATAAATAAGCCGGTTTGTTCGATCAACTATGTCGTAATGAGTGGCAGAACTGACCTTTGCGTAGCGAGGCGAGGCAGCCGTTCCACGCATTCAAGAGCTCAATCCGCGCGTCAAGGTTACAGCTGACGGAGGCTTGCAAGATCTTCTGATCAAGGATCCGATGTACTATGCTCAATTTGAGTGTATCATCGCATGCGATCATGACTTCATGACACTCTCCATGATCAATACAGCAGCGAGGTTTGCCAGCCGGCCTTTCTACGCTGCAGGAATCCACGGCTTCTACGGCTATATCTTCACCGACCTTGTAGCACATGAATTCGTCATCGAGCGCGAGAAGTCGAATAGACCAACAGCTGTGACGGCAGAGACTCTTACTCGCGCCGTTCTGGGCGTCACGGAAAAGAAGGAAAACAATGGCAAGACCATCGAAATCGTGAAGAAGTGCGAGATCTATTGTCCTTTCATCCTCGCAAACTCCTCACCCCTGCCTCTGGATGTGCTCAATAATCGCCGGAAGCTGAAGAATGTGCCGCCACTTCTACCCTGTCTTCGCGCTCTCTTCGAATTCGAGCGTGAAGTCATGCATCTTCCGGCAGCAACGCCACAAGACCTTCAGCGCTTTGCACAACTTGCCAAGCAGAAGACTGCAGAGATGGGCCTACCGGCTGAGACTCTGAGCGGCGACTTTCTGAGAAGCTTCCTGCAAAATGTAGGCGCTGAGATCACTCCAACTGCGGCGTTCGTTGGCGGTCGCTTAAGCGAGGATGTTATCAACGTTCTCGGTAAACGCGAGCAGCCAATACAGAACTTCGCTCTCTTCGACGGCGATTCGCTTGATGGCAAAATCTACTGCCTGTACACAATTCCGCCAGAAATGACGATGGGCTTCGATCCGAATCTGCCCATGGCAGCAGTAGACATGTCTGGCACCATGACAGGAGATTTGACTGGTCTGAACGGAATGGCTGGCGACATGTCCGGTCTCGATGGAATGTCAATGGATATGGGAATGAACGGCATGTCTTCAATGCAAATGCCGATGGGAATGAATGCGAACATGTCTGCCAGCATGTCATCAAATCCGACTCAAGAAGGTGCGCCTCGGACCACAGCCGAGACGCATACCGAGACGAATGCCAATGGGGATGGAGGAAGTCAACAGCAGACGTCTCAACCGCAGCCTTCCTAGCAGAAAGGCAGCGCTTTGTGGCGCGCTTGGCAAACTTTCATCCTGGCTCAGCGCACGCCCGAGGCAGCCAGACTTCAGCTTGCAAAGCTCGCTTTGCGCGATGACAGCACCACGGGCGGCGCTATACAGCACGACTCCCCGAACGCCTTGCTTGAGGAAGAGATCATGGTCATCGATTAGATCACATCTCTTCTGGTTTGCAGATTGCCAATTCGAATCACATTCGAAAGAGCAAGACTGCGACTTTTCGTGCCAGATTTGACATCGCGGCGCATGTACCTTACACTTGGGTATCAAGGACGTCTTCGCTCCCATCCAGGAAACCACGCACCAGCATCTGTAACACTACATACACAGTGTAGCATACCCATTCAGCAGACGAGGACAGCAGAATTGGCCTCGTAGATACCCCAGCTATGATATGTACTATACTTCTTGACGAAGCTTCTTCAGCTCCCGAATTCCGGTCTTCGTCTCTGTATGCTCTGTTTTCAAGTTCGTGTGCACAATCAAAGCACTGGCGATCAGGCCCACAGCCGTGATGCAACAGTACATGATCCACATGTTTTTCAGACTCCAGGCATATGCCGATTCCACAGCCTCTCGCTGCGCCAAATCGGGTATAGACGATATCAGCCTGACATTTGCAGCCGCTTTGTCATCTGCAAAGGCGGCGACCAAAGTACTGTTCAATCCGGCTCGCTCGAGATACTTCGCTCGCGCGACCATCCCATTTTGGAAAACCACGCCACCTAGAACGACTGACATTGCGGTAGCGACATTTCGAATGAACCCTATAGTCGCCGTAGCTGCCGCCGTGTTCTCCGGCGAAGTCGTGCTCTGTACTACGACCAGAGGTGCTTCGAATAGACAGCCCGAACCAATTCCTCCCAAGATCTCGAAGCCTATTATTCTAGAAATCGGTGTGAGGTCAGTCAACGAGACGTAGAGACCTGTCGCCAGGGTGAGAAAGACCAGCCCAATCCATATGACTTCACGGTAGTGGCCGGTCTTCAACATGATGAAGCCATTGATGAGACCCACGCTTGCTTCCGGTAACGCGTACGGCAGAATCAGCACACCAGAATGCAGCGGGCCAGCTTCCTTCACAGCCTGAAAGTAGAGCGGGAGATAGTAGGCCTGAGCGATGAACACCATCCCATGACAAAAGCAAACCACGAACGCGCAATTCGTGGACCGACTCTTAAAAATCTCGAATGGCATCAAAGGATACCTCGCCACCTTCTTCTCACTAAACAGAAACCCCCCAATCATAAGAAACCCAAACACAATCAAACATATCACCGTCGCCGAATTCCACGGAAACACCACACCCCCAAAATCCAACCCAAGCAACAACATAATCACAACACCCACAATCATAATCGTCCCCAACCAATCAAATGCCTTCAACCCAACCAAAACCCCAGTCCTAGGATTATGCACATCTAAAACCCACACCAACAAAACAAAACTCGTCGCGCACACCGGCAGATTAATCCAAAAACACCACCTCCAACTCACAAACTCCGTAAAAGCCCCTCCGATCAAAGGTCCCGTGCCCCCAGCAAACCCCCACACCACATTCCCCATCCCCAAATACCACGTCCGTTCCCTCATACTAAAAAGATCCGAAATCACAATATTCACCAACTGGATCAAGCCCCCAGCCGCGGTACCTTGTAACGCTCTCGCGGCGATCAACATTTCGACATTCACGCTTCTCGCGGCGAGAATGCTGGAGATCGCGAACCAGAGGACTGCGGCCAAGAGGGCGGGTTTTCGGCCCCAGATGTCGGAGATTTTGGCCCAGATGGGTCCGGCAGCGGCGTCGGCGAGGAGGTAGGCGGAGCCGATCCAGAAGTAGCCTGAGGCGGAGTTTAGGTTGGAGGAGATTGTGGGGATGGCGGTTGCGATGATTGTGTGGTCTAGGGCGGCGAGGAAGAGGGAGAGGTATAAGGCGAGGAGGATGAGGGTGAGGCGGAGGTTAGTTCTTGGGGGCTGGGGTGGAGATGGTTCATTTTGTGGGAGACCGGGTGGTGGTTGCAGAGATTGGTCGACTACTGGTGATGGAGGATCTGTTGCGGATGAAGAGGTAGGCGCAGATTGGAGATGGATGTCGTTCTTGGAGATGTCCATGGGTTCCAATTGATTTTGTCTTGATGATACTGTAGTATTGATCAAGCTGGAGCTCTGCGCCAAGAAAATAGCCACTTCTAATATTCGCGATCTGGCGGCGCAGAGAACGAAAAGATGAGGTAGCAGAGCAGAGCATAGAGGTAGTGCTTGCCGTTTTGCATTTGCGAAGCGCCTTCACGCGCTATCCGGGGTTGCGTCAGCCCACTTCACCCCTCGCCCTAGCTCGGGGAATTAAACTATACGTAAAATCGCACTTTCCTAGTAAGCTACACGTAAAAGTCGATAACGGCGATGTTGTAGAGCACATATAATAGGAAACTGAATATAAGTGCGATAAGGGTTAAGAGACAGTAGATTTCCGGTATATTAGCGACTAAATTGCGACCGTAGGACCTCAATCCGGCCTCTTAGCAAACCTCGAGTCTACTATATAATCAACTACTTTACTAGTCGGCCTATATATCTATTATATAACTGCTACCTCTTCTTACTAAGTAAATAGCCTATTACTATTATATCTACTGCCTATATTAGCTACCTCTTCTAGCTTAATTAGGTTATTCTTACTGCTAGCAATAGCGCTATTATAACGGCTGGATTTCTTCGGAGGCTCGTAGAAGTAGCGCTTACTTTGTATAGACTCGTAGCAGCGGCGAGGAGGTACTAAATAAGGCTAGATTACAGTATATATAGTATCTTTATTAAGTAGCGCTTCGTCTTGTTATAGCTAGTCTAACCGAGTATTAGGTTCTTACGCGAATAGGCTATTTAGTCGTCGCTTCGACTTAACGGTCTATACCGTAATATCGTCTTCGTAGTCGTAGGTACGAGTTAGTAGTAATAACGTACTTATTAGTAACTAAGTATAAGTAATATCGCCGCTCTCGGTAGTATTAGTATACTACCTATAGAAGTAGATAACTTTAGCGTACGGATCGCTAGTCTTCTTTAATATAAGGTTGTTATTAGTAGCGAGAAGTCGTAGGTTAAAGACTCGTCGTAGCGGCTTATCGATAGACTAGAGCTTAACGTCTATCTACTTAGTCTTACTATTATTATTAAATACTACTCGGAAGGCTTTACTACACTTAAGTCGATAGGTGCGTACTTTGTTATAAGCATTCTCTACCTCCTAGAGTATCTTCTAGCGGTCGTTATTAGCTAGGTCCTTATCCTATTAAGTAAGTTGCGAGCGCAATTTATCGGCCTCGATAGTACCTACTCTTATAAGCCGATTCGGCTACTCCTTCTATCGCTTCTTTACGCGTTTAACGATGCTTATAGACTAATATTTACGCTTATATTCTTCGCCTTTATAAATAGCTATATTAACTAACAACTCGTATGCCCTCTCTATATCCTTTATAGGTAAAGAGGAAAATAGGTTAAATATATAGTCGATACCGAGTAGGGTTAGCTTTAGATACGAGCGTCGAAAGTCCTTACGAGCTTATATAGCACTACGAGACGCCTTAATTATATAAGGGCTAGTCGTAGTATTTAGAAGCTATTACGGCAATTCGGGGGTAGGGGTCCGGATTCGCTAAGGAGGTAACGACGGCATACCTTAAGTAATTATATTCTCGAGATCCCCTAGGTAGTAACGATTATTAGCGCGAAATAGGCTATCTAGATCGATAATAGTAGGCTCGGCGGAACGGCCTTACTCGACTAAGGCAATATGTTCCTACTAAGCAATCTCCGCTATCGCTAGCGATTCTATATACTAGGTTTCCTTCTATGCTAATTCGCCCTTAATTACTTACTAGTTCCAATTCTAGTCTATAGCACTATACTAATCTCGAATATGCTTATAAGGTACCTTTCTATTTGTTAGGAATATGCCTGTCTTACGGAATGCCGACCGTACGTTATAGTTAGTAAATGTCTTCGCCCGAATAGATACTAGCGCCTCTATAAACTTAGGTATACTAAACTCGCTAACGCTACGGTATATAGCTTCTAAAACCGCCTATCTATGCCTTAACTTATATACTTAGAATAATATAACGTCTAGAGGCTATATAAAGTGCGAAGTGTGTAGTTATAGGCCCTATAATTAAATCCTATATCGCTTCGTAAAGGCCGCGAATTCCTTAAAGTAGTAAGAGCCGTAATTGTCGCATAGAAGCACCCTCTATTCGTTTAGATCCTTAGGCCTTGTCTTACGCTTAAACTAGCGGATATAATATATAGTAGTATTATCTGTTATATAGCTAGACTCGTTAATAGTAATTAAGAAGTTGTCTTTGCCTATTGTTATTAGTAGGTAACGTTGCTAGTAGTAACGTTGTTCTTGCCTAAGGCAATCTACGAGACTAACCTTGCGAAGGAATCTACCTCTCTTAAACTATTACTGCCTTAATAATTAACTAATAGTCTATTACTATACTATAGGCATTAATAGTCTCGACGACGGTTATATACGTCCGGTTGCTATTATACTCGGTTTAGGCGCGGCGCTTAGTGTCTATTATAACGATATACTTGTTACTACTAATTCTAACTTAGAAACTAGTCTTATCGAAATTCTATAGGTTCTACGGCTTTACCTTTAGTCGCAACAATATCGCCTTAAACTAGTCAAACTAGCCTCTTATTATAGAAGGGTCGTAAGCCTCCTTACGCTAAACCTTAATCGGTTTAGACTTGACTTTACTAAGTCTATAGCGCTTAAGAAACCTATCCGCCTAGTCTACTCTAAACGGCGCGATTATGTCTCTTAATATATAATCTAGTAGCAGACTCGCTAGCATATCTATCGCTACTATAACGATTAGCGCTACTAGCAAGAATATGCCTATTACGTCTCTTTCTCGATAATAATCCGCTAGCGCTAGCTCCTACGACTAGTCTAGTTTAGTATTAGTTACTAGTCGATCTAGCAGTAATCTACGACCCCTAATCCGCTAATATATATATAAATATAGGTTAGTTGCCTTCTTACTCTTATAAAGCGCTCGAAGGCTAATTTTAACTAATAAGATAGCCTCTAACTCGCGGTATTTCGTAATAACGCGGTCTACTACTCTCTCCGCCCTCTCTATCTTAGTTAACCGCTCGGCGCGTACCCTCCTCTTTATATTTCTAACCTTCTTACGCCCTATACCGAATTTTCTATACGATACGTATAGTAGAATAAAAGGAATAAGAGAAATAGGGGGAGTACGAGGAATACGCGTTTTAGAATAAGGTAGACGCGCCTGCTAAGCGATTATATAAGGAAATAGCGGCAGCGAGGTCTATAACTACTACCTACTCGGATACGGTTATATATATAATATTTAGACTCGCGGTTTTATACTATATATAACTAGACATCCGAATAGGACTAGAAACTACTATTTATCGAGTTTTACGTATAGTCTACTAACAAAGTGCGATTTTACGTATAGCTAGAAACCCCGCGATTAGCGGGCGTAAAGTGTGTGACGGAACCCTGGATAAGAATTACGGTGTTCGGAAGGCTTTGACGGGGTAGAACTAGCTCCCCTCGTGAAGTTAGCGCTTCCGGCGGCCTGTTGAACTAGCTCCCCTCGTGAAGTTAGCGCTTCCGGCGGCCTGTTGGTGGGCAAGTCAAGAGAGGCGTTCCCTTGCGGCAGAGGCGCTCGTGAACTCCGATACGGCGATACCTGCTTTGAACCGAACGCCAAGACCTCTCGCGCACTCATATTGATGTCCGGAATGACGTTTCTGCATGCTGACGAAGCGATACAGTGGCGATTCAGGAACGACCTGACTCACTCATCAAGAGGCGGCTCCCATTCAAGCCAAGACTGCCAAGCCGGGAAATCGTCGTGAGGAAGCTTCCCGTCGTTGCACAGCATCGGCCTCGACATCCAGCGGGGCTTCAAGTGCTACTTCTAGCAGTGGCTTTGCCTCAGGAAGTCAAAGCAGCGCATCCGATGGTCTGTCGACAGGCGCCAAAGCTGGTGTAGGTGTCGGTGTAGCGGTGAGTCTCGACTGGCGTATTTGATATGTTCACTGAAGCTGATAGAAGAGACTTGAGGCCGGAGCAGTTCTTATCTTCGCAGTCCATTTCTGGCTTTGGCGAAGGAGATCGTCTCAACAACGCATCCCTCTGAGCCAGAATAATGAGCCATACATACGACCGCAGGAATTAGATGCCAGTCCGGGCGAAAAGAGCGAACTGGCATCTAAGGATCAGAACTGGCCAGCAGAAGCACCTACCTATCGCGAGCCTGCTGAGCTGCTGGATAATGGGTATGGACGACGCTGTGCCGAGCTCGACGCCTCAAGATGATGATAGCCGTAGAATACCACGACTGGAAAGCATCGTGCCATCCGGAAGAGAGGGTTGTACTGAGAATTACAGAGCCCTCACGACGCAAGAGCATATTGCAATACTCCAGCAGCACAAACTGCGCAAGACTGAGTGTCATCAGGCGCACGTCCTGACTTCCTTCTGGCCTTTCACCTAATGGCCCTGCCTGATCTTCTACTCCCTGGAAACTGAAGTAATTCATGTCGGCAATTCCTTGTAGAGCATCTCCCAGTTTGGATGCCCAGGATCGACAAAGAAGGTCTCAGGTATACTGTTTGGATGCCCACAAGAATCTAATTCGAAATATGTGAGCCGATTTGAACCTCGTGTGTTCAATTCGAGCCTATTCTCCAGGCATCGCATCAAGCAAGCTCTCCCGTAAAGAGAGAGAGAATGCCGCCTTGTAGAGCACGGTATGGTTTGATAGGTCTGAAGCAGTTGGAGTTACTGTCGTCCAAGTGGCCCTTACAAGGCAGTCAGAGATGGTGCTGTCTCCACTCAGACCTCCAGCGGAAGGCACGAGAGCTGGCTTGCCAGCTGCCTCCGCAGTGGAGCGTAGCTTCGCCAAAGTAACAGGGAAGGAGGGTCGGAATGGAGACAGAGATGGTGCACGTCTGGTCATGTTGTGTCGAGAGGCCTCGAACGGGCTCGGGAGTGTCAAGAATGGACGACTTAGCGAGCTATCGCCATGGCGGACAGATAAGTAGGGTTTAGAGTTACGCAAGGCTTTATAATTACATAGTATGCTTACTATATGGTCCACAACCAGCTAGCGATGATCGACTGCAATGAAATGTCGTCAAAGACGTGTGATTGATGAAGATTACTGTATTGGATATTCGGAGGGGTTCGAGAAGGGGCTCAACTCAAGCGCCAAGCCATCTGGTCGTTCTCGCAGAAAAGAGTGGGGGCATTCCGGCGCGAGCCAGCCAGCTGTCTCTTCACATTTCTTGTCCTCACCTGCTTCTCGGTCTATATCATCTTCGAAATATCTCTCCGGCTCTGAAGACAACCAAAACTTCAACCCTCAACCACACGCGATCGAGACCACCGCCAAAATGAATCCGCAAATGTTCGTCCTCTTGTCGCACGCGACCACGAACAGGCATGGTATACTGACCATGAAACGCACAGCACCAACCTCATCATCATCCTCGTGATGATGCAAGCGAGCAAGAAAATTCCCTTCGATGACCCCAACGTCCTGAACGGCGTGCGCGCCCTCTACGTCGTCAGCAACGTCCTCATTCTCGGAGTCTACCTCTACGTCAAGATGCAAATCGATAAGAAGAGAGGTAAACCAACCAACCCCCACAACCACATCATTCATTCTGACACCCTCCTCTCCCAGACATGACCGTCCTCAAATACGTCGAACCCGCACCCATGGGCAGCACCGAAGACCCGAAAGCCGTAACCACAACCGTCCACGCCTACGACCAACAACAACTCAAAGGCCTCTTCAAATCGCAACTGATGGGCGTCGGAATGATGGCCGTCATGCATTTGTACTTCAAATACACAAACCCACTCCTCATCCAATCCATCATCCCGCTAAAGGGAGCTTTTGAAGGGAATTTGGTAAAAGTGCATTTGTTTGGTCAGCCTGCTACAGGGGATTTGAAGAGGCCTTGGAAGGCGAATGCGGGTATGGCGGGCATGTTGGGACAGGGGGCTGGCGAGATTAAGACGGATAAGAAGAGTATTGAGGCGGCGGAGAAGGCGGGGAGGGGGGGTGTTAAGGAGGAGTAGGATTTTGGAGGTTCTGTGAGGGAGGGCAGGTGCGGTTTGGTGCGGGGGTGGGAGGTGCTATTGGGAGTATCATGCGAGTATAGAATTGGACTGGACTATATTGCATACGATGAGTGTATAGAATCCGTGCTCGTATTGCAATTCTCCGATGGCCCGATCGGCTTCTATCATTTCCAGCTGCTTTGCTATTGTGCTCGCGACGCGCGAGTCTGGAGACGTCGCAAAGGTTGCGAGCGAGACTTACCACGAGGCCACTCCTGAGAGCTGCCAAAACTTCACTCGCGACGTGCTTTGAAATGATTCCTTGGACAGCGTGATGTTTTCAAAGGGCTGTATTTTCTCATTGCTAAATTCTACCAAGCTATCTGAGCCTGGCGTGCACCAAATGGCACCTATTCGTCTCATCAACGCTAGGGGACCTCATCGAATAATCATATTCTCGTTGCCCGGTCCCGTGCCAATGTACTTTACCCGTGCTTTCGTGAACTTCTCGATGAAGTCCACATATTTGCGAGCATTTTCGGGTAGCTCTTCCCATTTGCGCAGGCCAACCGTACTGCTCTTCCAGCCGGGGAAGGTCTCGTACTTCACCTCGATGTTTTCGAGAACGGTGAGATCACTGGGGAAAGAGGCCAGTTTCTGACCGTTGTGGTGGTATTCAGTAGCAACCTTGATCTCATCGAAGTCGTCCAGGATGTCCAATTTCGTCAAATTGATCGCATCGTAGTGGTTGATCGTGTTGGAGTACTTCACGACTACGAGGTCAAGCCATCCACAGCGGCGTCTGCGACCTGTCGTGACACCATACTCCTTTCCGATGTCAACCAGGCGATCGCCGATTTCGTTCTGCAATTCAGTAGGGAATGGACCAGAGCCAACGCGAGTGGTGTAAGCCTTGACAACACCAATGACTTCGTCGATCTTGCGGTGGTTTAGCGATAGACCAGTGAAGACGCCTCCCATTCCGGTGTTTGAGGAAGTTACAAACGGGTAGGTGCCGTTATCGATGTCCAGCATCAGAGCTTGGCTACCTTCGACAAGAATCTTGACGTTGCCCTCTTCGGCCGATTCGATCAGAGGTGCCTGATCCACGACATAGGTCTTCAATCGTTCCCTGTAATCGTCGAACCTCTTGATCTCGTCTTCAGGGTCGTAGTTGAGAAGATCCCCATACCGCTTCTTAAACGACTGGGCCAGCTGGCGCAACTTGGTGTCGAACGCTGACTTGTTGAAGACATCCGACATGCGAAGTCCGCTTCGGCTAGCTTTCGTGGAGTATGTAGGACCAATGCCCTTGCCCGTTGTGCCGATGTTCGCCTTGCCCAGCTCTACCTCTTCGAGACCGTCGACTTTCGTGTGCAGGTCAAGATCGATATGACACTTGTCGCTGACCAGAATGCGATCTTTGGTGTCGATCCCGGCCTTCTCGAGCATCTCGATCTCTTTAAAGAAGTTTGGCACGTAGACGACGCATCCTGATCCGACGAGGTTGATGCAGCCATCAGTGAGGACACCGGATGCTAAAATTCGTGTCAGTATGACTCTGCATATCGGCGACTGCAATAGCAGCCAGAGTCTTGAGCGACTCACGTAGGATGTGGACATCAAACTTCTTGCCGTTCTTCACAATGGTATGTCCGGCATTGTGACCACCTTGCGCTCTGCAGCACAATTGGATTCCGGTCTGCGCGATCACGTCGACAATCTTGCCTTTGCCTTCGTCACCCCACTGCGCACCGAGGATGACCGTCGCCATGATTGAGAGGGAGTTGAGCGTAGAGGCACGCGTGTGATATTAGCTTTTGAGTCGCCATTTTGAGAGAAAAGAAGTGATTGAGGGGTCCAAAAGAATTATATACAAACCACGGGCTGCCCGCCAACAATGCCAAGGGGGTGCGTCATTGGCCGTTGAAAAGTTTGAATCGTGACGACGTGACTCTCACCAACATTATTGCTTGCTGTCTCCTTATCCAATTCTGTTCACTCGACAAAGACACACCTCGATGTAGCAATCATGCGTTTCTCACCTCCGCCTTCGAAGAGACGCCAACGCGGTTCGCGTGGCATTTCGAGCATCTTCAGTGAGTGCGTGAGAAGGAAAGCTTCGGACGACATCGGAAGGTCACTTTGAGCGTGCCATTTGGCGTGGTGCGCGTAAGTAGACTGTAAGTGGCATTGCATTTGGAGCCGCTCAATCTCGTGACACTCACATGCTTTCATATGCACGGCATGGAGGTGAAGGCCGCGTTGCTGGTGTGAGCGCGCGATGAGTGTTGGTCTGAGGCAGCCGCGCCGCGCCGCGCCGCGCCGCGCCTCACTTTGTGGCTCAGCAAGAGCGATTTGTTGGCGTCAGGCTGGCAGCGGCATTCCCATCTCACTTTCAACCAGAACACTTCCGCTTCCACACACTCGACCTCTGCGATCAAACATCATGCTCGTCGAGTCACAACAACATCGCCGCCCCCGGAATCATCAGTAACATGGCTAACTCGGTGGTCTGCCCCTTCTGTGGCTCGTTCACAAGCACCGACTACGACGTTCAACTACACATCGAAGAATACCACACGGAGCATTCTCCATTCGTTGTTCAAGATGGAGAAGCTTCCAGGCCGTCAAGCTCAACAGATGCTTCTCGAGGCAGTCGCACCAGCGACTCGATGCCCGGAGACACGTGGACAAAGTGTGCGAGGCCTGGATGTGGCGAGCATGTTCTGCTGTCAGAAGTTGATGAACACCTGAGCTTCCATGCAGTGGCCGCCTTGTCCGAGCAAGAGGCCGAGGGACTGCGACCTCCATTACCTCCTCGAAGAAGTCCGGGCAGATCTCGAAGTCCTCCACGCAGAACGATGGGCAACAGATTGTCTGCCGAACATGCCGCCAATCCATCACGTAGTCCGCGCAAAGTCACGAGTCGTCCAATGCCTGGCCGAGCTAGCCCAGAACCACGCAGTCACTCCCGTACAGCTAGCATTCTCAGCTATTTCTCCGGCACATCCACTCACACTTCACGAGCCAAGTCAAGCGTTCATAAGCTTCAGGACCCAGACAACCCAATTAGACTCGGCAAGCGAGAGCTTGGTCCTTATGCGTTCGAAAAGAGCATGCCCTCTCAAGTACGAAAGGACTTGTTCCGAGGGGCCGAACCATGCGAAGAGCAAAGAATCGGCCGCGACGGCCGACTCTATCGACAAACCTTCATCGAGAATGAGACAGCAGGACTCATTCCACTTATTGCAGACCTGTGTACACTCGACTCAAACACAACAGCGGCATACCTCTGTCATCCATGCACAAAGCACATCCGGAAGATTCGTTGCGACGGCAACTTTTGCGGCTACTGGAACATTCAGGTCGCCATGACATACATCCAGCACATGAACCCGACTGGTCCTCAGGAGTTGCCCGATGTCATGAGAATTCAAGATACTATCGAGCAAGCTTGGGACAACGGCAAATGTCCATACGGACGGCTCGAGACCGGTGGTATACGCAATACTCGGAAGTGGATCGGTACAAATGAAGCGCTTGCTTTCTTCCAGCAGATCAATATCAGAGTCGAGGCACTATCATTCAAGGACTCAGACGAAGATGATGGAAGTAGTGCCGTGGAAGGGCTTCTAGACTATGTCGAAGCCTACTTCATGAGCGGTATCGACACCGCTGAAAGCAATCGCAATGCCCATATTACAACCTTGGCCCCGATCTACTTCCAACGCTTCGGCCATTCCATGAGCATAGTCGGGATCGAAAGACGGAAAGATGGCTCCCGGAACCTACTCATGTTCGACTCGTCCTTCGGCACATCGCTACCAGTACAGAGACTGCTTGCCGATCGTAATGCACGCGTGTCAGTTGAGAACGCCTTGAGAGCATACAGAAGATCAGATCTGTCTCTAACTCGATGGGACGAGTTCGAAATACTTGTGTACGTCATGTATTCGCTTGATTGCCATTTGAACTTAAGCTGATCATCTCATAGGCCACATCCTGGTCCTGTCAGTAGGTCTAGACAGCTCGGGTCGGACAATAAGAGGCGGGCATACGTTTCGAAAGCAGAGGATGAATGAGCAATATCTCCGCCCAAGGTTTCTCACAGCAAGCCGTGCTTACCTATTCTGGGTGTCTACATTCATGCGGATTTTCTCAGGGCTTGGTGCTTCACTAAATGCTGAAGCATGGCAACTAGAAGTAGATGCTTCAATGCGTGATAGAGTGAAGTGACAATCGGCTTCCGAAAGGCATTTGGACTCACGAATACACGGCGCACATGAGAAGCTTTCAGAATGCGGCACAGGGATATTAAAGGCCCGACTCCACCTCGGTCCGATTATGTGAGCTACCAAGGCCACTTCCTTGCGCTCTTGTCCCGTCCTTCACCCCTGCATTCCTCTTCTTGTCCTTCGATGCTAATGTCAAACAATTGCGGCATTTGCAGATTCCTGCCTAGGCGGATCGACATGATGTAAGACGCGAATCGGAAAAGAGGCTCTGCGGCTCGCGGGCTCAAAGACCATGGAATGATTCGGAGTAGAAACATCGATCGCCTATCACACTGCACACAATGGTAATACAGACCGCACGAAGCTCTCAAATCCTACCAAGGCTTTGCTTGTAACCTTCTCGCCTCCGCACTTGTGATCTCGAAGATCGAATCATCATAGCCTTGGCATTATCAACCAAGCCTTTTAGTTCGATTTGATTGAGCAAGTCTCCGGTCTTATGCCCGCCCGGACACCACTTGCAGCACAGACATACGCCGCACGTTTGATGCATGCTCTAATACCCGGAGTACCATCCCAATGTCAGGCGTCCACGCGGGAACTTCCCCATGGGTGAACCGCTGTGCGATGGTCTGGTGCCAATCCTTGGGGCGAATAATGGTAACGACAGTTATATAAAGCCACGCGATGGGCCTGGTTTGAGAATTCTCGTGTGTCGTCGACAGCCTTTCTTTAAAACCTGACACTGGGACCTGGAAACGAACAGAAGCTTTGAGGACTGATTTCATCTGATCAAAGGAGGAGCGTCAAGATGGGTCTCGCTCTCAAGAAGCCGGACGATGTGGCTGGGAAGTCATGGCCAGCTATCGTGGTCGGACTGTTCGTTGCCTTTGGTGGTGTACTCTTTGGATATGATGTGAGTAAAGCTGATCACGAAACCTCTTTCTCCACGACTAACAACATGACAGACTGGAACCATTTCCGGTGTTCTGGCTATGCCATACTGGATCAACCAATTCAAAACCGGTGATAATGAGGGCATTACGTCCAGCCAAGATGCTCTTATCGTCTCCATTCTATCTGCTGGTACCTTTATTGGAGCTCTTGTGAGTGCGCCCGCAGCGGACTGGATGGGTCGCAGACTAGGTCTCATGTTCTCTGCCGGTATCGTCTTCAACCTCGGCGTTGTCCTTCAAACAGCTTCGTCTGGTCAACCAATGTTGATTGCGGGTCGTTTCTTTGCTGGACTGGGAGTCGGTCTGCTCTCCGCTATGGTGCCCATGTATCAGTCTGAGACGGCACCGAAATGGATTCGAGGAACTATCGTTGGAGCATATCAGTGGGCCATTACTATCGTAAGTTATTCTGTGACGAGCTCATTGCCACGATCGAACTAATCATGACATGACAGGGTCTCTTCCTCGCCGCAATTGTGAACTACTCTACCGGTAGCCGCAACGACTCTGGTAGCTACCGCATCCCTATCGGCGTCCAGTTCGCATGGTCGATCATTATCTGCGTCGGTCTCTTCTTCCTGCCAGAAACTCCTCGCTTCTTGGTCAAGCAAGACAAGCACGTGCAAGCCGCTCAGTCCCTATCAAAGCTCCGCCGCCTGCCGATCGATCACCCAGCTCTCGTCGAGGAGCTCGCAGAAGTCGAAGCAAACCACAGATACGAAATGAGCATCTCTAAGGCTTCATACGCAGACTGCTTCAAGGGCACTGTAGGCAAGCGTCTCTTGACCGGATGCATGCTGCAAGCACTGCAACAATTGTCAGGCGTGAACTTCATCTTCTACTACGGCACGCAATACTTCGAGAACGCAGGTTTCAAGAGCGGTGGCTTCACCATTCAAGTCATCACAAACGTGGTCAACGTCTTCTCCACCGTTCCAGGTCTCTACCTAGTCGAGAAGATGGGCCGACGAGGTCTTCTCCTAATGGGCGCCATTGGAATGTGCATCTCCCAATTCATCGTCGCCATCGTCGGAACCGTCTCGGGCACCGACAACATGCCCGCTCAACAAACCGCCATTGCATTGTAAGTCTTCCCCCAACTCTCCCTCTAACCCCACTTTCCTAACATTCCTCACCAGCGTATGCATCTACATCTTCTTCTTCGCCTCCTCCTGGGGCCCCGTCGCCTGGGTCGTCACAGGCGAAATGTTCCCCCTCCAAACCCGCGCCAAATGCCTCTCGATGACCACCGCAACCAACTGGCTCCTAAATTTCGCAATCGCCTACTCCACGCCCTACATGGTAAACGAGCAATACGCAAACCTACAATCCAAAGTCTTCTTCATCTGGGGCTCGTTCTGCGGAATTTGCGTGCTTTTCGTTTACTTTATGATTTACGAGACGAAAGGTCTGTCGCTTGAGGAGGTGGATGAGTTGTATGGACGTGTGAGCAAGGCGTGGCAGAGCAAGAAGTTTCGGCCGGAGGTTTCGTTTCGGGATGTTAATGAGGTGCGGAAGGTGGAGGGGAGGAAGGTTAGTGTTAGTCAGGTTGCGGAGGAGAGGTTGAGGGAGAGGAGCGTTGCGCAGGTTGAGAAGTGAGGATGAAGAGGTAGGTGTGTGTAGGTTAAGGTGTAGGTGTAGAGGAAAGGGGGGAGTTGAGAGGTTGTGCGTGATTCGCGTTCGTACTTGTATTACTTCTATATTGTTTCCTCAATCGTATCGTTTGCTCTTTTTTCTACATTCAGTATTCTTCCATATGTTTTCCATGAAGGATCTCAGAGATCCACCCAAAATTCTAGTACGAAGAAAAAGTCGAACCAGAACACTGAGATTTATGCCACGCTATAACAAGTCAAATGTGCACCCGCAGAAAGCTCTTGGAAGAGAAGAATTTCACTCCATGATGAGCAAGCGAGATGAGCAGCATATCCCATGGTCAGCGTTATGAAGTCTAGCCTAGGATTCTCGAAGCTTTCATTATTCAAGCATCTCCCGCGCCGCTTTCCTCTTCCGCTCCTGTTGCTTCTCGTGCTTCTTAAAAAACTGATTACGAGGCTTTGCGGCGAGCGCTTTATTGGGATTATTCTTGCTGTATTCGTAGTATGCCATATTTTCTCCTCCGGCCAGTGAGGACAGCGTACCAGCCTGCCTCCGCACGCCTTTACCCTTCGCCTTGCCGCGCGAGACATTTCGATCGGAGAAGAGATCGTCTTTGATATCTTCGACATCGCCGGCCGTCTCGCTTTGTAGTAATACATCTTGCAGGGCAGTCATTCGCTCCTGCTGGGTGGTGAATTTGAGGTTCGGCATCTTCTCGATGCCGTTGAGATGTGTAATAACTTTGAAAGCGTAGCCTTGATCGACGAGGAAGGCCTGGCGTTTGGAAGAGTAGAACATCTCGTTTGTGTCCTTGGAAACCAGAGAGTAGAAGAATGCGTTAAAGCCCTCGTCGTTTCGTCGCTTCGCTCGCAGGATACGACCAAGGCGCTGCGCTTCTTGGCGACGCGAGCCGTAATGAGAGGAGACTTGTATGAGACAGGTTGCCTCTGGCAGATCCAGAGAAGTGTCACCGATCTTGGAGAGGAAGATTGTCGAGACTGCATCGTTCATCTGGAAGTTGGCTAGCACCATTTCTCGTTCCTTCTGGCTAGTATCACCAAAAATGAATGGCTTTTGTAGCGCTTCCGCGTATTTTCGCAGAGCATACACATTGTCCGAAAAGACAATGATCTTGTCGCCTCTGCTCTCGTGGAAGTTGATTAAGAACTGGCATGCTTGAAACTTCCTCGGATTCATGGTAGACAGCAAGCCGCGCTTGTTGGTCGTCTGAGCTGACAGATACTCAGAGTAGAACTCAGTAGTCATTGGACACCAGACCTCCGCACATTGAACGCGTGCAATGTGGCCTTCTTCGCTTAGCTGCAGCCAGTTGGCCTCGTATAACTTGGGCCCGATAAGGAAATTCAGATCCTTAATCTTATCGTCTTCGCGGAGAAGTGTTGCGGTCAGCCCAAGCTTCGAATGTGTCTTAATGCGTTCTGTCACACGCCTGAACATTTCTGCGGGCACGACATGCACCTCGTCCAGAACCATTAATCCCCACTCACGAGACATGATGAAGTCCATGACCACCTTGCTGTCATGCGCGCGCCGTGTGTTTTGCGTGACCATGCTGTATGTGCAGATGATGACACCTGCTTTGTCCCTGAGCTTCTGCTTTTCGCCACTGGTGAAGATTACTATGTCGTCTGGATTGATGTTTGACCACTTCTTAAATTCATCTTTCCACTGCACGGCACTCATTGCGCTAGTGCAAAGCACAATCGCGCTCTTCTTGACCGTACATGCTGCAGTAATGCCGACTAGTGTCTTGCCGGCACCACAGGGCAGCACGATAATTCCGCTTCTAGCGCGTCCGTTGCCAAACATTTTGCTAAGCGCGTGTTCTTGGTAGTAGCGAATCTGGACGTTCGGCTTGAGGTCAATGTCGAGATTAGCGTTGATATCGTCTGCTCTGAAGTCGTATTCTTCGGTCAGAGGCAGCTTGAGCTTCACATTACAGTGTTCTTGCACGAGCTGGATCTTTTCGCCATCGACCTCGAACGAGTGTACTTGGTCGGTATCGTCATCGTCTTCCTCCTCGCGCAAGAATTCGGTCATGTCCTTCTCAGCTTGACGGCCACCATATTCGTCGTCGCTGTCCTCTTCGTCGTCGTCTTCTCTCTTCTGTTGCTGTTCGATCTGTGCCATGGCGTTCTTCGCTCGAGTCGCCTCTTCTGTGCCACCGATGATCAGATCGCCCTTCTTGGCCGCCTTCTCGGTCTTCAGCTCGTCGGAGTCGTCCACGCGGCAAGAGCTAATGACTGGATCTCGCAGAAGCATCTGAAGTACGGACGCGTCATTGCTTTCGACGAAGTATTTGTTGTGCTTCAGCACAAGTCGCACCTTTCCGAAAGATTGTGTGACTTCGTGGACGAAATTAATGATGTTCTCCGGCACTTTTGTTTTGGAGAAGAGTTCAAGATCACGGACGATGTCTTGCTCCGTGAGACCTACGCTAACGGCCGCGAATAGACTGTGAGGACTTATAGTGTATTCGTGCATGTTCGTTGTGCGACTTTGAGGCTCTGCGATATTAATAAGGAAGTTCTGGGCTTGCTTGAAGCTGGGAGCAAAGGTCTCAAGGACGACCTTCCCATTCTGCGGGTCGATCCACAGCGGCCGCAGATGGTGGTCGGGCTTGAGAGGCTCGTTGAAATAATCACGACTGGGTTTGAATAGATGACTGGCGGCGTCACGACCAGCGTACGCAGCTTGCGACTTCTGATAGGTCTGGGGTTGATATCGCTGCACTATTCCTTCATACTTTTTACTCCTCGCCGGCGCACCGCCTTCCGACATGTTCATGTCTTCGCTGTCGCTGTAATCATCATCGCTCAGACTCACAGGCGTCGCCTGCCTGGACTCGGAGGCAAGTCTCTTAGCGGGCTGTTTGCTCGAGTCGCCAGCTTTGCGCTTGGGTGCCATGACTAGCAGCGACTATGGGACTGATATCAACGAGGGATGCTGGTGGCGATGGATGTTGATGGTGTGCAGGTTCAAGTTTCGGGCGGAAAGACGAGTGTTGATATAGTTGCGACTGACAGGCGTCCTCAGAACTGGCGTCCTCAGATCAACTTGGCAGGGGCCGGCAAGCTCCGGAAGTCTGTTGCGGAGCCCAAAGCGACTCCGAGCACTCCCGCACTTCTCGCCGAATGCTTGTGATGATGTCGGTTTTCCACTGTTTCGGAGCTTCGACTTCTACTTCTTCTGCTCTACAAACATTCACTTTGGAAGACTCGTGGATTGCACACAATCTGGTTCACGGCATATACTCCGGCCAGGTCTTGCAGAGCGGTGTTTAAGGGCAGATCAAGATGAATACAGTATGCATGCCCAAGATCCGTTCTTAGGCATTAATGTTGTGCTAATAAGACATCAGATCCGATCAGTAGGCTATGGCTGGGGCGTCCTCATCGTCGCAGGCGCTGGTTCATACTACTTCGCCAAGAAGTCTATCAACGCCGATCGAGAAGAACGAGCGGCACACAACGAACGCCTACGACAATCGCAAAACAGATTACGAGCACAAGAAGCCGTGTCGAGAGATGCTGCCTTGAGCAGCGCATCAGCCAAATCTACTGGAGGCAAAGGGGAGTCGAAGTACGATACGCCGTCACCCAGTCGAGAAGCAAACGAAGACCCTGCGCCAACTCACCACGAAAGCAAATATGAAGCGAAAGATCCATTCAGAAGTCGGAAAGGCGATCGATTTAGTTGATGGGAATGTTCGAGGTTAAAAACATACTCAGGCCGAGATCTGACTCCGAAGCTGCCTTAGTAAAGACGCTTCAAGCAATGCTCATTCCAGCTCCGGAGCGGCATTGGGATCAGGGCAAGGGCTCTTACGTAGCGACCGTCTCTAGGTATGCAGTCGCAGCGAATGTGATAGCTCGTAGAGATCGTTGGTCGACATTTGTCCCGCTCAGCTCATGAGCTGCAACGGGAGCAATGGAATGGCCGAATGATTTGGTTTGCATTGGAACCCAGGAACATCAGATGCAGTCAGAAGAGTCTTAAAGTAGATTTATCTAGCGTACAGCTAGGGAATGGTTGTACGGATCGCTGAAAACGATGATTGAGGCCAGCTCCGTCGAGGTTGCAATGACCTCAGTATAGCTCTTACGCCCCCAGCCAGGATATCACAATGCGATTATGCCCACCAACGCCTAAATATCAAAGGCCTTCGCTACCGTGGATATCTCTTCAAACCAGGAATGCAGTATGTAAACGCAAAGATCGATCACTTGTCGACCGATCAGGCCTTCTGTTCTCCGACTTCTTCCACGCCGCTGCTCATCTCCGCAACCTCATGTATGCACCAGCATAGTCGTCAAGACTCGATCCAGGTAGGCAATCGCGGAAGCTCAGAGGCCGGCTGTGAAAACATAAACGTTAGCAAAACATAAATGCATAGACATCGACAGCGCTGCCAAACTTACAATCGTCTCTTATCTGTCGCAGCTCCTTGTGAAATGACATATGCTCCAGCAAGTGGTGCACTGACTATTGCACACCAGTATCCAACGACTGCCGCAGCTCCAAGTCGGTCTTGTTGATGTGCCGTCCGTGTTCGGTAGGTGCTAAGGAAGCGTGAAGCTCGTTGGAGAAGTGGACGTGATGTGATGGCCATTTCGATTTACGGTTGTGTTGGGTGGATTGTAATACTCTCTGAGTGATGTTCGTTGTTGTTGAAACGTTCTGCACAGTCGTAGGTTGTACTGTATACGGGGAGGGACAATCACTTAAGGCAGTGTTGGGTTGGTTTTGCTGACCATGAATTAGAGTCGCAGTGATTGGCTGTTGGTAGAAGGCGGCCCAAGCCGGCCATACTTCCCGCACGCGTTCCGCTGCGTGCAAGGCCCGAACCCTGGAGCCGTGGATGGCATAATCCTACCTCGCCACTTCCCCGAGCCCCAGCTACCCGCCCGAGCCCCAGTAATACAGTGGATTATAGAATCCGCTGTTCCTAACAAAATCGCGTAGGGAAGCGATTTCCGGATCCCCGCAACCACTACCGACCGGGCAACCACTTCTATACTGCTACTAGCTATAAAGCCAAAGTTTGTTAGCAAATTAGTAGTATAGCAAAATTTAAGGTGTTGTTAGTTGCTATCTACTTAGGTCTAAGCGGATTACGACCTGCAGCCTTGTAACTACGTAATGCTATATATACTAGCTTATATTAGTCCCTTATTTGCTAACTAGCCTACTGCTATATATGATACTGCTACTAAGTGAACTAATAGTGCTGTTGTTATAGCACCTAGTAGTAAAGTGGCCGTCCTGTTAGCTATATAGAATAAAATACGAATATTAAGTCGGTAGACTTCGAGGAATCGAGGCGCGACTTCGAGGCGCGACTTCCTAGGTAACGCGCTCCGCGCTACTAACTAAGAATGGATATAATATATAATAGGTGGAAACAGCACGTAATCTCATTCAGGCCGATTCTATATTGGTATATCTACTGGGGCTCGGGCGGGTAGCTGGGGCTCGGGGAAGTGGCGAGGTGCTGGAGATGATGGAGTCAGGTTAATCTTATCGATTTTGCAAGCCCTGAATCCCGCGCTGAGCGCTTCGAGGAGACATGCGCCTCGCACCACGACCTATATCAAGCCAAGGTGTTTCACAAGCTCGTTGCAAGGCACCTCGAGGCATTCACATGCTCTGCACATGCTTCGCTCTTCAGTCACATGAAGCCGTGTCTATCCGACAGAAAGCGGGCTAGGCCGCGTCTTCGAGGCTACAAAAGCTACCACTTCTAGTGCGAGGATGCTTCCTCAAACATCGACATTGTCAAGCACTGGCCTTCTAGCCGGTGTCTGGGGTGCCTTCATCTATTGCTAGGTCATAGACCTGGAGTGGGAGGAGGCACGGGGAGAGCTCAGAGTTCACTGCACACCTGCTACGTGCGTCGCAACACTCGTGCGGCTTTCTATCGAGTATGATGACGACTGGTAGCAGCGATGTCGTCGAGGTAGGACAGAACAACACAGTGGTTCTTGGATATGGCAGGTCTTTCGAAGTGCTGACATCGCCCTGCAGCCACATCAACTTCGTCGCTCCCATGTTCGCAACATCTCTCCACGCGGCCCTTACTGCCTGCAATCGATCATGACAAGTAATCAACCCAAGCTTGCCACTCGTCTACACATGCGCGGATGCTGTGGCGAGACCGACGCTGCTTACAGTACGAGCATGAGCACTGGGCGGGTCTACAGCCACAATCAGGCCCACGGACATGCGCAGCAACCAGATTTTCATGGCTCAACACCACTTTTGGTATCCCGGCACCAACATTCAAAAGTCGCAAGAAGGCTTGTTGCGCAGTCTATTGCACCAAGTATGCTCTCAAGATACTGCTTTACTGCCAGCGACATTTCCATCCCGGTGGACTTCGCATCGCGCACGTAAGTCGTGGTCGGTGAAAGAACTCCTTGATGCAATCGGCATGCTACGCACTGTCACAAACGCGGCGTTCTGTTTCTTCATCGATGGGCTTGATGAGTATCAGCCCCAAGATCGACACATGCAATTGGCCAAAGATCTTCTAGATTTGGCATACGCATCGAACATCAAGATATGCGCCTCAAGCCGACCTTGGGAGGCATTTCAGGCATCCTTTGGCCATACGGCGACTATGTTGATGTCTGGGAAAGTGGTTTTTGTTAACAGATGTCTTGAACTCGGAGGACCGTCATGGTGGAAGAGATTTGAGCTGCCGTGAAGATGATGATTATTGATGCCCCGACAGGCGAGCGAAAAGGATGGATCAAATGTCATTGCTCTGCCTGGTTACACAGCTGACTGCCAATCGCGTCGATACGAAATCTCGCTCTCGAAGCATCTCAGCGCCGTGTGGATTTTGACGCCGACCATTTGCGACGCCGACTTCTCGCTCACAATTCCGGCTGCCGAACAGCGAACAGCGCATCAGTTCCCAAACAGTACTACTCCAACCTTGTTGATGGCTTACGGAGACTGCGGCTGCTGATGTGTGCTATGGACGACAGCGACCGGACCGTAGCAATTTCGTCCGTGTACAGGCCTATCCCGACTTCTCACAGCACGTCGTCATCACTATCAGCGTCTACAAATGTTCCGATAGAGTACACAGGTGGGTACAGTCATTCTCATCTACTACAGTCTACAGCAAAAGTGGCAACCTTTACTAGTAACAGCTTCACATCTACGCTCTCAACCCTCGCACCAGCAATCTTGCACTCTAGATTACACCAGAGAACGACATATCTACACAGACATGTCAGACTATCCACCTCAGCAATACTCACCACAAGGCTACGACCATCCGCAATACCAATCTCCGCCATATCCAGACCATTTCCCAGGCGAGGCACCCCCTCCACGACAAACCTACTACAGCCCTCCACCTCAACAACAATACATCTCATACACGTATCCTCACACATCCCAACAAAAACAAGACCCAGAACCAGCTTGGGACCCAAAACGAATCTACGCTGAATACGGCGCTGGACCGAAATCTGAGAACAAAGGTCTCGGCGACTTCTCCTCCAACCAACATCATCAAGGCGGATTGCAACAATCACATGTAGGCCAACAAGACGAGCGAGGAATCGGTGCTACTGTCCTCGGAGGCGCAGGCGGTGCATTTCTGGGTCATGAAATGGGTCATGGGAAACTTGCTACTCTGAGTGGATTGGCTATTGGAGCTATTGCTGCTAATGCTTTTGAACATCATCATCGTGAGAAGAAGAAGCATGAGAGGGAGGGGGTGAGGGAGTATGATAGGGGGTTTGTGGGGGAAGAGGAGAGGGAGAGGGAGAGGGGTATTGGGGAGGAGGAGAGTGAGGATGAGTATCGGGAGAGGTGCAGAGGGATTAATAATGAGTATGAGGATGAGAGGGATTATGATGATGAAGAAGAGAGACCGAGACATCATCATCATTATCAGAGAGATTATGATGACTCTTATGTTGACGATGGGGAATACCAGGTTGAAGATTATTATAGGAGGGACTACTAGAGACGGAGGACGTTCGTTATAGTTAGGCGTCTAGACTTTATTAGCGAGCGTAGCGTTTGGGATAGATGCGGGATGGTCAATGGTAGGAATTTGATAGAGTCTTGGAGCCATACTGCTCGTCTAAAAGCAAAAGACCAAACCAAAGACAAGCTAAAAAAGTCTTTGGCCCCTAACCGATTCCCAAAACTCCTCGCCAAAAGTGAACTTAGGTAGTCGTAATTCATTTCCCATTTCTTCATCTTAATCAACGATCGAACAGACGTTCAATCCTGTCATAATCGCGCAAATCTTGAGAATTCGGACGAAGCTTACACTCATCGAGCGAAATCTGTTCTGGCATCCTGACAAGCTTGAATTGCTCATAAAGTCCACCTCTGGCATTCTTTGGCCGCTTGACTCCCACCACTCGATACAGGAGGGCTGGGAGGTTGACCTGTGTTGGAGAAGGCTGGCTGCGGCGGCGGCGGCCTGGGGATGGGAATGGGGATGGGGATGGAGATGGGAATGGTATTGAGACTGGGGTTGGGAATGGGAGAGAAATGAAGTCGTCTGTGTGCACTGTTTCCCGAATTTCCTTTTCATTTCCATCAAAAGCTTCTGACGGTGCTACTGACCTCGCAACAAGCTGTTGCAAAGCAATGTGCAAGACGAGAAGGAGCGATGCTTGAACTCTACGTAAGCACACCTGGAATGCGTCTGAGCAAGGCTAAGCTTCTCGCGTCTGGTCTGTCTCCGCCACTCGGGAT